AATTCATTTATGAGGTGTACTCAATTTATTTACTGGGTTTTTTAAATAAACTAATATCGTGATCTGTGCAAAAATTATTAGATCACCAAGGAAATAGTTAACTGCATTTCAATAAACATTTATAACCCCAAGCTCTTATATTGTATATAAAGTTTCTTTATAATTCCTCCCAATTTCTAACCAAAGTCAATTCTTTATATCAAAGTAGGATAGTTATTTAACAATACATGTATGATATAAATATTTTTTTTTATTATTTTCTTGGAACCAGAACTTTTTGCCACGGAAGTAATAAGTAATTATTTCATATAAAATAAAAAGAGGAGATATGATTGCCAACGAGACAACTCTCCTCCAGAGACATAGAATTTAACAACTATCAGTCACCTACAGCCTTCAACCATGAGCAAAACCCATACCCATAGTCCATATCCTTTAGGAAATGTGCCATAGTAAGCAAGTATATCATCTGTTTGCTCATCCATCTACAACTTCCAATCACAATTAAAGGATTGAATTGTTTTTGCCTAAATTTTCAAATAATCTTCAGTATCTGTTAGCATTGTGTATATTTTTTTCACATCCAAAGGTTCCCCAATCGAAGAATGGACTTTTCCATTTATAAAATTTGATTACTCATATTGAAGGATAGGTTGGTTCAGCTGATAAGAACATAGATTTAGTTAGAGCAAGATTCTGCATTTATAAATCTTGTAATTTGGTCAATCTTCAACGACAACTTCAATATTTATGTTCATTCATTTTTCTATTTTATCCACTAAGAAGAGTTAAAAGCATAATAAATGTCTGATCTCATTATGTAAATTTATATTTTGAATTGCATGTATAATCAAAATATATAAACTCAATCATACTAAGACTTGGTATAACAAGATTTGACAGTAAAAACAAATAAAATCACATAAAAGCCACTAAAATCAGATAAAACCAGATAAAACACAAATCTTGTTATAGCAAAGCCTTATAAAATTTACATTAAAGCTACAGTGGTAATATATATCAGTGTGAACCCCAAATTTATTTTGAATTGAAGTCATTAAAATTTTGTCATAATGAGATCCAACTACTAAAAACATGAATAAAAACAAATATATTTGAACCAACCTATCCCTCACACGATAAAATGGTGCTACGAGAAGCTTCTTTCCCTTTTTTCAAATACTTAGGAGATCCATTCATTACAATTGAGAACCCCAAAATTTCATTATAATAAAATAAAATACACACAGCCATTAGATACAGAAGATAATCTGAAAGTTTAAATGAAAACCTTCCAATAGTTTTATAAGCTGTGGATGAGAGATGATGATGGACATACAGACAAATCTTCTTTAATAACCTTTTTATGCTCAACATGAGTGCAGATGGTCATGGGATTTGGTCCTGCCCTGGGTCATATCAAAGAATTGAAAATTGGTATTTGATGCTCTCCTGCTAAGCATTCAGCAATTAGGAGTAGGAGCAAAGACTGGTCAGCTGGAAGTCAGAATAATGTGTTCAGGTAGGGTTAGATGTCTTGTGCAGACTTTTAATTTATGACCTAGCACATTAAAAAAATCTTTTCTCTTAATTATCCATCCATCCTTCAAAATCAAAACTTCTTTTACAGGATCCTGGTTGTACATGTGGAGGGGGGAGGTAATTGTTTAGAAGCTGAGTACAAGCCTCAAAAATCAAACATTAAAATATAAATAATCATAAATGAGAAAAAATATAGAAATCAATCACACAAAAATGAGAAAATATGACAAACTGCAAAAACTATGTAATTATTTTCACTTGAGTGGTCTCAGATGCTGAATAATGCATTTATAATATATAAACAAAACCAATAAATAAAACTGACAGCCATTAATTTGTATGAATGTAAAGAATGCAGAGTCAAAACAAACCATCTAACTTAACATTTTTATTTCTAGTTCATATTGCACCAAAAACTCCGTACTTAAATTGTTTAATAGGGGATTTGTTTTATTCCCTTATAGTGTTTGGCCATCAAAGTCCTACTTAATAGGTTTCTAACCAGAAAAAATAATTTCACAAAGGACTTATAATTCTTAACCAGTGTACAAAACTTAATAAATACATGTAAACTGAAACAAGTCTTGTGGGTATCTTGTGAAACCATACATCATACCTTTGGGACCTCTCAAATAACAATAATTTCACAGGTTTTTTTTATATTTCTTCAATCACCAAACAATAATTGAATGCAAGAAAAAATAATGAAATAAATATTTATAATTTGAATAATAAAGCATTAAAAATTAATTGCATTTATAATTCATTCTGCTTATAAGACAAATATCTGCTGATTTTTTTACAAAAGATAGCAACAGTTCATCCAATGATTTGCAGGATTGTAGTGTGAGGATTTTACCATACAAGGAAGGCAGCAACAGCAACTCTTCCGACTGAAAAAGAAACAAAGTTAAGTTTCAATTGTTGATTCTTAATTTTAAAATAATCTAACGAAACAGACATCAGTGTATGTTAAACAATTTGTTTTTTACTTATATTGATTACTCAAAAATATATAGTATCAAAAATATCCGATTTTATTGTTATCTCCCCTTCATTTATCTTCTTCAGATCTAGTATCTGCTTTAAAGGGTATATTATTTTAAAATGAAAAGATTGAATACTGATTTTTTTTAATTGTAAATTAAAAAAATTATATATATTGAAATCTTATTTAGTGACATTCATCACACTATAACATAAACACATTAAAGTTGTATGTTGATGAACAAGTTCTCACCTTATAACAGCTTTATCCCAGCAAGTAACCCAATGGAAACCTGATGCTAACCTGGAATATAAAAGTAGTGAGTTATACTAAACTTTCCTAAAAAAAATTATTACACATGTACTAAATTTAAAATTGCACTAGGATAACAAAAAATCATGGAAAAAATATTTGGTATTCTGAATTATAAACTCAGTTTTATATTTACCAAAAAAATTCAACCAGTATCTCATCAGTGTAAAATTATTTTTTTGGTACTAAAGAACCTTATGAAATTGATTTCAAATATTATATTACTAAAAAGATGCTTGATTACCTACCAACATGTTAACAATATCAGACATCCAAGTCTTACTCCCAACACCATGAAAATATCATTATAACAACCTAAAAATAAAAAAAATAAAAAAATAATTACTTGTTTTACAGATCAATCTGTCTCTAAGAAGACTAACAAAATAATGCTATGTTTCATTTATTAAAACCTGTTATACGTTATCATCTTCACTATATAAACTTTACACTGCTAGAGATAGAAATTGACCTTGTGCAAGTGCACGTATATGTATAAGACAATGATTTTGGAATATTCAATTACAAAATCGGATGGTTTTGTTCTCTTTTGATGGTTCTTAAAATCATTTTCATAACAGCGTAGACAACCCCAATAATTATGTTGGTAATAATACTAACTCAATTACTGTAAATTCAGAAACTATTGCAAATGTTTTTATTATTGCAAAAAATGCAACATGGTTGTATTGGCAATAATTTAAACTATCATTTTGAAATTTTTATATGAATTAAACAGGATTTTTCTCAATATCGCAAAAATTAAAATCGCATTTTAGTCTAAAATTACAAAATCGCAATTAATGAATGGTTATTATTTATTTTGAATTTATTGAACCATGAAATTAATTTTTGACTCTTCACATTGAATAATCCGCAAAGTGGATTATGTAAAATGTGAAGAGTCAAAAATTAATTTGATGGTTCAATAAATTCAAAATAAATTATAGCCATTCATTATAAATAAATTTCTATCAAAAATAAGGCTCAAAGAACTTTTTATATTATTTATATTAACCATAACAACGTACACGGATGTTCGCGTATGAATATATAATTTAATTTTGGATGTAACCCGTCTTCTGATTGGCTGACGTTGTTGTGTTTATTAGCTCATAGACATAATTTTGTCATGCGACCGTGACGTCATCAACGTTTTTTCATGGTTTACTCAGGTTTAAAAATGGAATTTAGAATTAAATTATAAGAAATGACTGTAATATTTTTTCTGTCTATTCGAAATAACATAAAAAATGTGGTGCACACTTTAAAATAACCCGCTATGCGGGTTATTCAGTGTGCACCACATTTTTGATGTTATTTCTTCATAGACAGAAAAAATATTACAGTTATTCCTTAAACAACGTCAGTTTGTGCTGTCGCCATAAAAATTGACAACATTGAAAATAAAAGTAATACTTTTAACCAATCAGAAGACAGAAAATACACCAAATTTATCTATTAATAATTGCACACAATAATTTCTGAATTTAGAGTACCTTGAACTTGTTTGCCATTGGCTATCGATAACAGTGATTTTACGCTCACTCAGTCTGTCAGAGGCCTTCCAATAGGGATTTAAATAGAATAAAAGAGCAAAGTACATGTAGGCACAAGAGAAGAAAAAAAGAAAATAATTATTCAACATTTAAATCAACACACAAGGTTTAGTCTTCTGCTAGTAATTCGTACTATTTGATGTAGGCATTTAGAACCTTTGGCAACCCCAGTTTAAATGTCTATAACACATTCAATGTGACAAGTGGGCGTTACAGACAAACTTTCACCTTATCTGACCCAGTCAATAGATAACATAAGAGCATCAAGAAATCGTCTTGTCCACGCTTTTATGAAAATGATTCTATATCAATTCAATATGTCTTGTCCACGCTTTTATGAAAATGATTCTATATCAATTCAATATTCAAACAGTTGCAGACTTTGCATAAAAATTTGTTCGACCCAAATAAGTTCACAAATTCATTTATAATAACTTGCATACAGTTGGTTTCTATCCAACACAGTTCACTCGATACCAGACAGAAAACAAACACTGATAGAAAAGAACCCTTAAAAAATAATGTTAAATGCCTATATATATTATTACCATAAAATTTGTGGAATATATAAACTTACCACATATTTTTCATGGTAAAGCCTCAGGCTTGGTGAAGATTAAATTGACCATCTCCCTTAGAGATGCTCTCCCGGCTGACAAGGTGGCTCTCCTCATCATCTTAACATTATTTTTTTTTAAATATAGTTTTATACATTAAATATATCAGATGCATTTCCAATAAACCCCTTTCTTGAAAATTTCAGCAAATCAATTGTTAATGACCCAAGATTTCTCCCACCCTGCATACTTATTATCTAGAGCTCTGCTTACATTTATTTTTTTTTATTACAGAGCTCTAAATAATAGTCAATATTAGCTAGTATACATCTGATATTAAAAAAAAATGTACAAACATGAATATCCAAGTAGATGAAAATCCTAACATTGAGGGAATTTCAAGTATGTGGAGTTAAACAGGGGTATAATAAATTTCCTCCCTTTGACCCAAATTTCACCCTGTTCGGACTCCACATCCTTGTTATATTAAACAAAATAAATAAAATAGTACAATTAAAATTAAAAATAGATTGATAACAAAAATCTAACACATTTCAATAAAATATTTCGTACTGATCGACTTATGGTGGCAGAGTGGTCCTATAAGTAGTTCAACTACTGTATCACTAGCCTGTCAACACTGAGAACCCTCACATGAAATGTGTAACTTCATTCTTAATTTGACTAGGGTTTGCCCGTTTCCCTGATGAAGGTGATGTTTTCACCAGGCACTCTGGCTGTCTCCACAAATAAAAATTTACAGCCAAAATTATAGTAAATCATGTTAAAGTGGTGTTTATCAACCAATCCAATTTTAACAAGATGTTCTTCAACTATGCCTTTTGTAAAATTATTCTTTAAAAAATATCACCTTGGTTACAAACCAAAATCAGCTAAAAATGACAAAAAAAGTGCAAAAAATATATTTCTAACTTCTTAACTTCGTAAATTCCTCTGCATTAGAGCACCCTTGTCACATATCTTAAAGATATTAAAATTAAAATGAAAGAAAAGGTTGTAAGGGGATATATATATATATACTGCAGACCATTATTCATCTTTTTAGTTTACACTAGAGAGGCATTTGCTATGGTAAGGTATTTTGAAACGTTGCTAAAAAAAACAAAAATAATTAAAAAATTTTGCTAAGAAATTTAGTGGGAATATTCACATCGGCAGATTTAATTGCATTAACTACATGTATAAAGTAACTTGTAAAATTTAAAAGTATCTCAAATCCTAAAATAACAAAAAGATGGCAAAAATATATACATTACAATTTGCAAAAAAAAAATACATTTCAATAATTGAACATTTTTTTTTCTTTTTTCTTTCTTTTTCTTTTAGATTATCCATTCTTAAACTGCTGGAAGTGTTTTGACTAGACATGAGTATAAACGGAAAATAGAAAGTAATTTTTGTAATGTCAAATACAAGTTAACCTACAACTTCCAATCTTGTTGAAAATGGAGAATCTTTACATATTTTTTTTTTTTTGGTAAAAAAATTATAAACATTTTCTCAAGCATACACAAAAATAGTCTGAATTACATTCTTTACTGTTGCAGTTATATCACACAACCATTTTATGCAGCCACAGTTATCTGAAAAAGAAATATACATTACTCATGAACATTGAAATAATATTTAATGCAAAACAATTATAATTAACTGAGCATTACAATTATAATGTATAGAACATTTCTTTTTCTTTGTTATAAAGTGATTTGTTGACATAAATTTTAAAGTACCAGTATTTCTTAGCAATAAAAGGATGAAAAACGGGTCATTGGCTGATGTCTTGACAAATATCTTTTTAACATTGTTTTATAGCTATATATAGTATATCAGGCTATTAACATACTTGATTGAATTTTTTAACATTTAGTCATGTTGCACCTTTATAGCTAACTATACAATATAGGTTTTGCTCATTGTTGATGGCATAGGGTGACATTTAGTTGCATCCACATCATTTGGTCTCTGGTTGATAGCTGTCTTATTGGCATACATACCACACTTACATATTTTCATATATGGGGACAACTATAGATAACAAAAAAACTGAAATCCCAAGAGTTCGCATTATACATTATACTTTTTGACTTCCCTTATATATCTTTATATCTCCTTCTAAATTGTTTACTCAACTATAAGTAAAGAAGACATTAATATGTAAGATTTACATCTGTGAATAACAAAAATCTTGGGCTTTAAAATGCTCTTGGATGAAAAGTTCATAAATCTATGTATTGATTCTTACCATAAAAGTCAGCTCCAATGCCCACTCCCAGCTTCAATCCTTACAGACAAGCTGTGATGCTAACCTGAAATATAAAATGATAATCATTAATAAAACCCTGTAACTCGGAAACGTAAAATCTTAAAATTTATAAAAATCGAAAGGGAGCTCATGTCACTAGATATAAACAATTCACCACAATTTCTTGCAAGTTGGTGAAAGCATTCTTGAGTTATTGTCCGAAAACTGGAAAATCCCCCTTTTTTAATGAATAAAACCCCATAACTCGGAAACGTAAAATCTAAAATTTATAAAAAACGAAAGGGAGCTCACATCAATAGATATGAACAATTCACCAAAGTTTTATGCAAATTGGTTAAAGCGTTTTTGAGTTAATGTCCGACATGTTGACGACAGACGGACTGACGGAAAACAGTATACTATAATACGTCCTGTAAATGGGCGTATAAAAACTGTTTAAAAGGTTCTTTGTTGGTTTTATTTATGTATATTGAATAGATTGAATGATTGGTTGTTGGTTGCTTAAGGTCCAGTGGCAAATCATTAAATAGAAATAGTCAAAACATTTACTAAATTTTATCATCGGTATATGGACATAATTCGTAAATATAGCTCAACATGCAGACTTCTTATACGTTCAGGTATTTCACATCCAATTTTTTATGGAAATATTCTCTATAAAGCACAAAAATGTCAGTATTCACCTCTGAAGCTAACAAAACCTTTAAATAGACTTATTAAGAAGGGATATAGTTACGATACTGTTGTCAGGTCATTAAAGATTGCATATTTTGGCGTTAATATTGATTCACTTATAGGGTCTTTGCATCGGCACTAAACACATTTATTCAAAAACCAGTTGTTGGAATGACACGGGTTATGTTCTTCTCATATATGTTATGATGGTATGATACTAAACCCCTTACGGGAAGGATTGTGCCTGATATTCATATGATGAAGACATCATCTTTCAATCAGTTTAATTGAAGTCTGGAGCTGGCATGTCAGTTAACTGCTAGTAGTCTGTTGTTATTTATGTATTATTGTCCTTTTGTTTATTTTCTTTGGTTACATCTGACATCAGACTCGGACTTCTCTTGAACTGAATTTTAATGTGCGTATTGTTATGCGTTTACTTTTCTACATTGGCTAGAGGTATAGGGGGAGGGTTGAGATCTCATAAACATGTTTAACCCCGCCGCATTTTTGCGCCTGTCCCAAGTCAGGAGCCTCTAGCCTTTGTTAGTCTTGTATTATTTTTAATTTTAGTTTCTTGTGTACAATTTGGAGTTTAGTATGGCGTTCATTATCACTGAACTAGTATATATATTTGTTTAGGGGCCAGCTGAAGGACGCCTCCGGGTGCGGGAATTTCTCGCTGCATTGAAGACCTGTTGGTGACCTTCTGCTGTTGTCTGTTCTATGGTCGGGTTGTTGTCTCTTTGACACATTCCCCATTTCCATTCTCAATTTTATTAAAATGTGTTATATATGTCAAGAACATATGGATGAGACAGCAATCCAACAAGCCAACACATTTTTATGTAAACAATTCAGATCCTAAACTTTACTCTTATTTGGTTACTGATATAATATTAAGAGTAGATTCCTGTAAAAAATCTTTGAAGCGTTCAAATCTTGTTTTTCCATAAAATATTTATAATACATTTGAGTTTTCCAAAACAGGACTAACATACTGGTACATACCTTTGTATTAGCTGTATAAGACCACCAAGTCTTATTCCCACACCATGAAAACATGTCTCAGAAAGAACCTGAAATGAAATTATAATCAACACATTATACATTTTGTAAATCAATTTGTGTGTTACTGATAACCTAAAATTTACTGAATATTGTTCTGATTTCTTATTGCAGGTAGACAATTGTATAAAATCTTTTTTTTTTTAAATCAATATAAAAGATAGAAAAGTAAAAAAACATTAGATTTAAATTTAACTGCACAAAAAATATCTGAATATTTTACAGTTATCTCCCATTGAATGCAAAATCGTGTTTTAAATTGTACTGCTCTTTTCTTTAAGTTTAATGACTATTTTTAGGATTTACTATTGATATTTTAATAGAAAATCTTGTTCATGTATCTTGTATCTTTAAATACTAAACTAGTAAATTAATTCATCAATGGTGTTTTAAATGCAATATTTCAGAAGGGTCTGTTATCTTAAAAGATCTGGCTAAAATAAACTTGCCTTTTCTATTTTCATGGTAAAGAGTCAGACTTGGTTGAAGATTTAATTGACCATCTTCCTAAGAGCTGCTATCCTGGTTGACAAGGTGGTTCTTCTCAATATCTTATTGTCAATCTATGTTGTGTCCATTTGTTTTTAGAAAATAAAGTAACATACATAAAAAATATCAGATGCACTTTCAATTAATAAACTTTTTGAAAAATTTCACGTTATTATTTTAAGTGACACATAATTTTTCCCACCCTAAATTTCTATTATCTAGAAAACATCTGATATGTAAAAAAGTGCATAAATGTGAGTATCCAAGTAAATAAAAATCTAACATTGAGGGAATTTCAAGTATTTGAAGTTAAACACAGTATAATAAATTACCTCCCTTTGACCTAAATTTCACCCTGTTAGAACTCCACATCTTTGTTATATATAACAAAAAAACATAAATGGGTCATAAATAGTATACCGGTAATCAAAATAAAAAAATAATTAAATTACAAAAATTCAACACATTTCAATAACATATTTAGTGCGGATGGAGTAATGGTGGCTGAATGGTCAAAGTAGTTCAACTACTGTATCACTAGCCTGTCAACACTCTGAACCCTCACATTGTAGGTGTGTTTAACGTCAATCTTAATTGACTAGAGTTGCCAGTTTCTCTGTTGAAGGGGATGTTTTCACCAGGCTGTCTCCACAAATAAAAACTGGCAGCCAAGATATAGCAAATCATGCTGAAAGTGGTGTTAAATACCAAAAATCAATCAATCTACTTTCATCAAGATATTCTTCAACTATGCTTCTTGTAAAATATTCTTAAAATAATATACCCTTTGTTATAAACTCAGCTAAAATGACACAAAGGTGAAAAATTATATTACAATTTGCAAAAATAAAAAACATTTCAATAATTGAACATTTTTTTCTTTTCTTTTCTTTTTCTTTTTCTTAGATTCTCCATTCTTAAACTACTGGAAGTGTTTTGCCTAGACATGAGTATGAACAGAAAATAGAAAGTAATTTTTGAAATTTCAAAGACCTATTAACCTACAACTTCCAATCTTGTTGAAAATGGAGAACCTGTACATAATTTTTTTTTTCTTTTTGTAAAAATTATAAACATTTTCTCAAACATACACAAAAATAGTCTGAATTACATTCTTTACTGTTACAGTAAAATCACATAGCCCTTTTATGCACCCACAGTTACCTGAAAAAGAAATATACAGAATTAAACGTAATTGTCAAAATCTGAAAATTGAAACAATATCAAATGCAAAATAATAAATAACTGGTCATCATAATCATGATTCATAAAACCTTTCTCTTACTTTGTTTAAAAGTGATTTGCTGATATATTTTTTGAACTACCAGTCTTTATTAGCAGAAAAGGATGAAAAACAAGTCAATGGTAGATGTCTAACATATTTCTTTTTTACATATTGTTTTTTTTGTATTGGTTCTTACCATAAAAGTAAGCTCCAATGCCCACTCCCAGCTTCAATCTTTACAGAAAAGCTGTGATGCTAACCTGAAAAATATAATGATTAGACATTCAAGATTGTTTAAAAGGATCATTTTTGATATACTGTATGTATATTCCATATTTTGAATGATTGATTCATTTGATTGTTGGTTGCTAAATGTCCAGTGGCAAATTAAATAAAAGTCTATAAATATGTAATAGAAGTTGAGAACAGCAAACCAGCATCCCAACAAACTTTACATAATCAAATCAGATAATTAAATTTACTCCTTTAAAGGCAATTACAGAAAGCAAAGACTTCTTACCAAACTACTACAAACCTTCACGCTTAGAGCACATGATATTTCCAAATACATTTTATAATACTTTTTCTTTTTTCAAAACAGGACTAACATACTGGTACATACCTTCGTATTAGCTGTATTAGACCACCAAGTCTTATTCCCACACCATGAAAACATATCACAGAAGAACCTAAAAAGAATTAAAAAAGACACATTATATATTTTACAAATCCATTTCTCTATAAATATAAAGTCACTGTATAATGTTCTGATTTCTTACAAAATGTACACAATAGTATCAACACAAGTCTGTAAGATAAACTGTTGACAGAGATGTCTCGCCTAGCAGCGGAAAATGAAAAACATCTGATGATTAGCAACAATGCTAATTAATTTGATAATTTGTTAGTAATGCAAATAAATACAAAATGTCATTGATCTATAGCAAGGAGTAACTATTAACCTGACTAAACAGAAAACTTGACATAATAAAAATAAAACAAGTCAAAGGTTTTTGTTTGGAATTTAATTGCACAAAAGTGATGTGCAAATTTAACAGTTATATCCCATTGAATGAACATATCTTGCTGTTAATTGTACTTGTCTCCCCTTGAAGTTTTAAATATTTTGATCGAAAATCTTGCTCAAGAAAATGGTAACTTAAATTATAAAACTTATTAAAATTAATACATCAATGGTGTTTTGCATGCAGAAGATCAGAAGGGTGCTGGTGTGTTGCACTTCTTGTCGAATATTTCTAGAAAATGTATACAAATATTTGGCTTAAATAAACTTGCCTTCTTAATTTCTTGGTAAAGCCTCAGACTTGGTTGAAGATTTATTTGACCATCTTCCTTGGAGCTGCTATCCTGGCTGCTTTCAAAGGTTTTCCATCATAGTTTTTTATGCTAATCAGTCCACTGAATCCATTTTATCTAAGTAATGAAATGTCCTTTCCATTGTACATTATAAAATTTACAATAGTCACCAGAATGTTCCAAGGCATCTCACATTATTTTTCCAATCATGGAAACTGAAGAAATTCTCAATTTAAAATACAAATAATTTATTAAATTCATTTAAAAAGTACTGTAAAAATACCAGACATGCTTTTAAACAGGTAACTTGTATTTTGATAATTTACGAAATGTATTCTGTACCCCACAATTTCTTCCACTCATTAAAATTATATTTTAGAACTATGTTTACATTTTTTTTTATTTACATAGCTCTAGATAATAGCTTTTAAATAAGTTACCAGACATCTGATATGAAAATACTTATACAAATGTAAGAAAAAAAGTACAGTGTAGTAATAGTATAATAAACACATATAAATCAACATTTTTTAAATATTTTGAAGCATAGTTTAATCAAAAATTTCTCATTTTCAAGGTTTACTACTCATGTACATAGTAGTCATGTATTAAGTCCCAAAATTTGTAAAAGCCTCTATAGATTTGCAAACTCTCTGTGAATTCCAAAAGATATGGGTTAAAAACTATTTATTTTACCTTTGATGAAAAATTACTTAGTTCCCCAAGTCAGGAAAAAAATTATTAAACAATTCCATAGTACCAAGTGGACAACTTAAATATTTGTACAATCATTGTGTGAAGTTAAAAAGATTGAGATTGAAAACTGCAGGAGTTGATTACACAAAATCAGTACCATCTTTGAAAATTTTGGAAAACAATCATCAAGATCAGAATTAAGGGAAAAATGGGGGGCAATTCCTCAAACAATTTCATATAAGCAGGTACACAACTTCAAAATGTACGCAATTATTGTGAAGTTTCAGTGGTACAAGAAAAAGAAGCTGAAATGAAAAAATACAAATATGATGCAAAATGATATTACATGTATCAAGTATGAAATCTTTAGATTTAATAAAAAAATTTAGAAAGAAAAAATTAAGAACTCAAAGAAATGATATAAATACTGATTCTTTATAATAAAAATTAATTTCAATACTTTATAATTTAAATTAATTTCAAAACTCAAATGGCACGTAATACTTCAATAAAATAGATTTTTACTTTTTACTTTAGTTTTATACTTGAAAGAAAAATAGTAGCAAAATTTACAATTGAAAAAGTAAAATTTTTTGTTCCCAGATTATTTATGATAGCATTTTTGATTGGTTATATCAAAATTTGTTTTATGTAAGATTACTTCCAATGACTTTTGTCAGAAAAAAAGGAAAATCACTGATATCTTGACAATAATGGACTGAGGCAAGTTTACTGCACTCTCCGGAATCATTGGTTCCTTAAATGGATAAGAACCAGAAGCAGCCAATATACAGACTTACAGGAATCAGCTCTTTTTTGCTACCGGGAAAAGAAAACAGATTACGAGTTAAATCTAAAATAGTCTGGTTATCTTTAACTTTTTTAGTGATTAAATCCCCAAAGTCTGAAACAGGGTCTAATATAAATCTAAAACTGCTTGGTTAACAGAACTGATTGTATGCTATCGCTCAGGCAAAAATAATCTTGTATATAATGCCTACCCATGTTAAAACTACAATAAAGTATAGCTTGCAACAATTATTTCTTAATTATTATGGACTAATGGAAAACTCCTTTGAACTAATGAGGCTAAAGTTGGATCCCTGTTAAAGAGTCAAGCTCTTAGATTACTCTTTGTCTGGCCATGAGTTTCAAAAAGGATCTAATGAAGAATAGCTGCAGTCAGTTATTGATAATTGGGTTTTACTTATTTTATTTTTTTAAAGTATTTTATGATGGCTAGTGCTTTACCTATATTGTAATTACCAAATTTGAAAAAGA